TGTGCACCAACTCCTTTCGAAGTGCTTCTAGAGTCTGAGGAGGACGTTGCAAATTGAGCAATCTCCTACCCATCATATCCCACACGTGCTCAATTGGGGATAAGTCGGGAGATCTTGGTGGCCATGGTAACAATGTGACATCATTATGTTGAAAGAAGTCTATTGTGACTCTTGCAACATGTGGTCGGGCATTATCTTGTTGGAAAGTTGGATCTGCCAGGGTGTCAAGATAGGGTAAAAGATGGGGTTCTAGAACTTCGTGGATATAACGCTGCGCGTTCATGTTACCTCTGATGAAGATTAAAGGTGACCTGGAACCATAAGCTACAGCACCCCAAACCATAACTCCAACAGTGTGATGAACATGTCTTTCAACAAAAAACTGTGGATTCCTCCTTTCACCACGTCGCCTTCTAACCCTGGCACGACCATCGTGCATGCCTAAACAAAATCGAGACTCGTCACTAAAGACAATACTGTTCCATTCCTGATCCCAGAGTGACCGTTGTCTGCACCACTCAAGGCGATTACGTCGGTGTTCTCGAGTTAAAGGGAGGACCCAGTGTGGCCGGTATGAAAACAAGCCAAAACTTCTCATTCGTCGGTAAACACTTCGCATGCCAATAGGTCTTCCGTGTTCTGCAAACCATTCATTTGCAATGGACCTGGTAGTGAGGAAACGGTCCCTTAAGGCCAATAATCTTAGGCGGCGATCTTCACGGTCTGTTGTTCTACGGCGGCGTCCAGTGCCCCTTGCTCTTTGCGTACGGCCTTCTCGAAGCCATGCCTGACAACACCTAACCACAGTGTCTACACTTCTTTGCACTCTAACTGCAATTGCCCGAAAAGAAAGTCCAGCTCCCCGAAGTCCCACTATGCGGCCCCTATCAAACTCACTAAGTTGACGAAATCGTACATGTCTCCGTACTCTAGGCATCGTAACCGATCGTAAAGGATGTCAAGAACTAAAATCCACCAACGTTGATTCTTCACTGCGGCTGAAATATTCATTTTTAGAGCGTTAGTGAATTAAAAAAAAGCAGTATAAAAACCGGAATGTCCAACTGATAAGGCTGAACATTTTTTCACTTGTTATTTACAGTAAGATAAATACATTCACCAACTTTTATTAAAATAAAACCATTTAAACTGGGTGTTCGGATTTATATGTCACTTAGTATATAACGAAAATTCACAATAGAGCTTTTTTATGTTGAAAAGTGCGAAGAATCAGTTTTTTTATTCAAAAAGCAACAAATTGCACTAAGAAAAAAATTCGGACATTTTAATACACTACAGGTACAGTAGAGAGCGCCCTCTAGCGGTTACAGTAAAACTATGCCCATGGTTCGTTTTGTCGTACCAAAAAACCCTTGTATACCAATTTTCACTGCTATACATCAAATATTGTTCGAAATATTTAAAAAAAACTATTTTAGAAAGTATGTATTTTGGAAGCCACGCATTTTTCGACCCATGTTTATATAGACTTTATGCATTAATTTTAAAAGTTCTATCGAATCTTTAAGTTATGCAACAATAAACTGAAACACCCTGTATAGTTTACTCAAAGAACTTCATTTTGAGTATAGGAAACGTGGTAGAGATAGTATTTTGATGGACAGTCAAGAGATTATTTTATGGAGAAGAAATTATTTGAAACCAATAAAGAAAAACCTGGATAAATGCAGGACATACAAAACCTAAGGTAGGGGCTGAGTCTACAATTAAATCAGCAAGACGCGCCTTCTTAGATAAAATAACTACTGGCCTAATGAATCCGTCAGGTACGTGTATCTAACCAATTCGTCATTTGTGGTGTAAAAATGGTGTCAAGTAGACTGCATCTATGAGCCCACGCTGAAAATTTAGCTAAACCATATTTTGTAGATTTGGAATCAACAGCTGTTAGAAACTCTGCTTGTATTATTATTAGTTTTCTTGATAACTATATGAAATAATTATTTCCAGGAAAAGGAAAACGATTTGTTATCTGTCACATTGGCAGTGAAGATGGCTTTGTGCCCACTGCCCTATGGGCATTTGAGTCATAGAAAACGACCGACTACCATGAAGAAATGGTTGAACGATGGTTTGAAGAAACGCTCCCATTGCTTGACGACAATGCCGTCATTGTACTTGATAATGATGCTACTAGAAAACTAGAAAAAAATCCCACAATATCCACAAGAAAGGCAGACATTCAACAGTGACTCCTATCAAAAGGCATTAATTCAACATGGTCAAAGCGGAACTTATCCATCTGCACTTCTTTCTATAAAAATAATAATGTATTTTGTTAGATTATTCCAAGACCATTGAGGAAAATACGGACCTGTACAATCTCGCTTTTGGGCATGTTGTGTTTTGTCTGGACGTAAATGGACTACGAATGGGGTATAAGGACAAAAAAGCTTTCGATGCATCAAAGGCGCATCTGCTTTGTTTATGTTATATGTCAAGTGGCTAAAGAGATCCTGGGATAACGGGGTACATCGAGTACCGCGCTAATCAGAATCGTACGTCGCTCGGGTTACCAATGCAAGTGAACCTGATATTTACTTACAGTAGCACACAAAAGTATGAATACGAATAAATTAGGTCCGTATCTGCCTTAGTTCATTTCCAGTCTTCCTGACCGTTTGCAGCTCATCAAGCAATTTATATTTCAATAATTATAGCAATATTTAACCTTGTTGTAACCCAAATTTCAAGTTTCAAGTAGAGATTAAGATCAAGATTACCTTTTATATTAAACGCTTAAGTGAGTTGAATTTTCAACATCTATCGTTACAATCTGAAACTACATAAACTAATCAGTTTGCACCTATTTTGGTGATAATGGGCTTAATAGGATTATATTCTCCTGAACTTCTTTAGGACATACAGGCACGATATTGGCAAAATTTTCAATAATTATGCGTTTCAAGGTCACGCCAACCAATAACAACCACACCCATCACGATTTTACTGCCGCGGTATTTGTTATGGTTTATCTTAGTGATTTATTTAGTCTAAGAGTGATTCACTCTTTGCCGTAGACAGCATAAGCCTTGTTTGTCGATGAAACATCATTGGAAGAAAATGGGTGTTGGTAGCAATGACGCATCATTCAATTAGCCACGTGATTTTCTTGCGAAAAAGATGTTCCTTCCTTAGTAAGACTGCATTTTACGTCATTTACAATTGTCATTGTATTATTTATCTTTATCTCACGTAAAAATTTTAATTCCACCTATATGTATTGACTTTATATATACATGCCCTAAGAAACACACATCATGTTCGTCTGTCTGTCGTCTGCCTACCCTAAAACCCTTAAAGCCAGATTTCCTAACTGTCGAATAAGGATGCAAAATTCAGCTATGTACCTGACATTTTTATGCGTCTTGCAGCTGACAGCTAGAGCAACATATAAGTCAATGCCGCACCCTCAGACGTATTCGGCAACTAAGAAAATCCCGCGATTACTTCCTTTTAGGCGAATGCTGCACTTAAGTATTTACGGTGATCCGTCAATATGTATCATGATGTAGAAATCCACTGTTAGTAGCAGATCCATCAATGAATGCTGATTGTACGGACCACCTGGGATTTCATTTTTTACAACATTTCAACTTCTAGTTTTTAAAATTTCATGAGTTCGTCAAGAAATTCCTCTTCGAAAATATTCTGTTCACATTCTTATTGTTAGAATGATGCATCATCGTCGATTTGTTAGCCGACTATAGAGCTATCCAAGCCACACCTTTACATCTTCAAAGTGATTATCAAGTCGTCGCTGCCATAGCCAAAACAATGCAAATCAGCTCATATTTACTCATAGCTCTGGAAACGCTAACCGTTTCGGAGAATGCATATACCTATCCAGTCTTTCACACCTGTGAGTTATTCTTGAAGCGGGGCCGTAGAATATTTAAAAGAAAGTAAGTGTGTGTGGCTCTCTCACCTTTCGAAAAAATATTCTTAAACGACTCGCCGTTGTCCATAGGTCTTATCTCTAAAGACATATGAATAAGCCAGGAATCACCAATAATGGATACATTCACACACTTGTATGACAAATGTCACCAACTGTCAAAATTTAAGATTGTTCCCCAGGGAAGAGATCCTAAGAATAAGGGTCCAAGGGTCTGTTCTCGAATAACGAAGGGTCAATATCGCATGCGAGATAGCTAAAATGTCACACGAAACTCATAAAGTGCTTTTTTAAATCTCCTAATCGAGATTTCTTATTTCGACAAAATCTCACCAAGCTAAGGCCTTGCGACAATAAATGATGCGTTCAAGTTTTTTTTGCAGGTGACGAAGTAGGAGTTTTCTTGAAAGTACTTACTTTTTTCTTCGTTACATACAAAAGTGACAGCACGGGACTAACAATAGCAATCACAAAAATAAAATTCCAGGGTCCCATGCGAGATTCGAGAACTAATCTTTCCCCTCCTCCCGGCATTATGAAAAATCTATAACCTTTAAATAGCACCTATAGCAGACTGAATTAACCAAAAAATGACAGATGATGTATCTTCTGATGCCATCATCCAGATTTTCGCTGCGGTATATATTTTGGCTAATATGTCTTGAGAATGCAAGAAACATGGCACCGAAAGGTTTTTACACTAATTTTCCCTTACAATTAGACAAAAATATCAAAGTCTATGTATGCCAGAAATACATAAAACTAAAACAATAACCGTGTTCAGTGCATGATCAGCTCGTTGATATATTTCAAGAAACTGGGAGCATAGCTCTGATTGGGCAGAATCGGTCAAGCCCATATACAGGCCCAATGTCAAACCAGGAAGGTGGAATAGAAGACGACACGGCGGTGCATCAAGCCTCGCCGGACTTTAACGTGCTGGAGTCCGAGCACGTGAAGGATGCATGAATATGTTTGGCTTTAGTTTCTTTTTTCGATAGATGGACTATACCATTGAATCATCCAGCAGTGCCCCTTTGATTCCAGATGTTCAGCATGCAACTTCACCGCGGACATCAAGCAAAGTTTGACCGTGCACGAGATGAACCATCACGTGCCGCCTGTGGGTCAAGTGGCTTCCGGCAGCGTCGCTTCCGGAGGCCGAAGGAGAAACAAAGTGGGGGCCAGCGATGCCACTGCTGCCGAAGAAGCTGCCGCGGCTGCAGCTGCAGTGGGACACGTCACGGGTGGGGTATCGGAAGGAGTAGAGGAGATGGTGAAGAGTGAGGAGGGACAGCAGATGACGTCGACGCAGGTGCTGGTGAGTTCTGTTATTTTGATGTGGTTTTATAGTTGCCCACAAGTATAAAAGCTTGAAGATGAAATTTTGTTTTCTCGTCGAAATTCTCACCCAGCACAATAGTCGTGACATACATCCTTTTATTCCTACGGGCGTTAATTTGAAACTGATAATTTCATTCCAGTTCGTGGTCTCTATGGAGACAGCGCATATTTGGTTGTATGTCTTAGTAAATATACAAATCATTCAAACTTCTTATTGGGAGAATATATATATACAGGGTGACTTCGAAGTTGAGTCATTTATTTTAACAGTGAGTAGATCTGATCAAAAGAAATGTTTTTTTCCTTTAACATTTTTCTGGTAAAATTAAAGTAACAAAGTTATAGCCCTTTAGAAGTTTGAGTACCGCCCTGTCTCAATAATAATATTATGTGCTCGTGTTTGGCAACAACGGATATAATCCGCCTTATCGGTTCATCGCATCGGAAACAACAAAGCGAAAGAATTTGAAACGCTTATCACGATGTTTTTACTACAATTTTATTCAGTTGTATTCAGTCAATGTGTCAGTCGGTAACGCGTGAGTGAATAGTGGTGTTTGTTGCGTGGCTCAAACGAAATAAAAAATGGCACATGTTTACGAAAATGCTGAACTTGTGGACATGATTCTTATTTACGGGGAGGGAGTCTTTACAAAATGCTGCCGTGGCATCACGGATTTATGCGGATCGGTTTCCCAATCGAGTGCAACCAACCCCTCATGCCTTTGTTAATGTAGTACAAAGGGCTCGTGAATCAGGTGACTTAAGACCTCACAGGGGAGGGCATGCCGGTGCTCCAAGACCGCACGATCAAATACAGGTCCGCACTGAAATACTTGTCGGGAGGATACTTTATAAAACAAGGTAAGCTTTTTTTACACACATATTTTGGTTTATCTTCCTTCTACAATCATTATCTGAAAATTAATGACTCAACTTCAAAATCACCCTGTATATATATATATATATATACAGGGTATATAACAACAAGTAGGAAAATAATGGGCAAAATCCGCAAAAAGGAGGAAAGTGGATTCGAGCAGAAAATAGGATAGGTGACCCGAGCGATACGTATTTCTGCTGGTTGGCTTCATCAGGCCCGAAATGAATGCACATATGAAACTACAAAAGTAGATACACATGCCCACACATCCGGGTACGGGTGTAACCTGAGGAAACGAAGTTGGAGGGGAAAAAAACGTTGCTCCTTAAAAAACGTTGAACCGTATATCCTAGTTGCGCTTTCCAGTGGATCAGTGAGTTATTCTAACTACTTTGCCTATGTTCAGTCTATATTATGGCAGGCAGTATAATGATGTGGGAAGGACCCTGTGATGCTAAAAAGGTTTTTGTTATGCAAAAAAGAATACTGAGGTCTATAACAAACCGCAACAGACGGAAAAGTTGCAAGCAGCAATTTCTGGAGCTTTGATAAATACATTTGAGCCTTTACTTTATACAAAGTCAGGACAACGAGATTTCAAGCAACTAAATCACAGCACCTGATGTCCAACTTGAAACAGATCCACACTTCATATTCCCAGTTTTCGATTAGTTAACATTAGAAAAGAGCTCTAAATATGGACGTTATATTACAACAAACTTCCATACAAATGAGCTTAATATGATTAAAATGAAATTCAAATCTGTATTAATGAAAAAAGCTTATTATTATTGACGAATACTTCTTAGACATGAACATCTGCCAATACTATAACATATATAATATTTGTTTATTTTATTTTAATATGAAATTATGTTCGTTTTATGTGATTTTATTTTTGCATTACCTTTACTTCTCTAATCTGTTCGGTTAATTTTCTCTTACAGTTACATGGTTATGGAGAGATTTATGAATTTTCCATTATTTTAATATCGTGATGTTGTGATATTATGTTTTTATATCTAAGTTCGATCCTACACAATTTTGGTGTTTTTTATTTCTGATAATGATTCATGCTGTGTACTGAACTACTGCTATTTATCCATTTATTATAATATAACTTATATGCTTTTAATGAATATGTTCGCAAGGGACTGTGGACACTCTATTGAGTAAAGTTTATTTCTCTCTTTACTACTCTGGTGCAGGCTGTAATTTATGCCAGGCCGCCATCTGCGAAGTGCGCCTGATTTTTTAACTACACGTTGTTTCAGCGGAAAGCTTTTTATAGTGCCAATTATCAAAGTCTTGACTGTTTGAGAGATGAGTTTGAGGAAATGCACCTGTTGGAAATAATGCAAGTGGATTTGGGTATGAAATGTTTACCAGTCAGCTAAAATCATTTGCCGGAGTGGAGTAGTAAACGCCGACCTGAATAAACAAATACATATTTTATTTCCATGCTTAAGGGAAATCGATGGCAGGAAACCGACCATTTCCATATAATTTTACGCGAGGTTGGAAATGTTTGGCCGGAAAAGTTGTAGTTTCGTGGAAATATCAACAATCACCTATTGCCCTAGATTTATGTATTGGGAACAAAATATTCCAGGATAAACAAGCAACAAGGTATTAGGTGAAACAAAACAACACTTCACTTAATTCTACCTTGAGTAATGGATACCGGTGGTTTTTGGTTACATAACATGACAAAGAACCCGAAGGGACAAAATTGACAGCCACGTAAACTGTTGATCTTGTTAACTGCGCTAAAACAATCTACTCCGGCGAGTTTTTTTATCACGATGCAGCAGCAGCAAAAGGAGTCCCGGCCATCCGAGTACCGCTACTTCTACTAATGGCTTTGTTTGTAGCTTTGAATTGATTAAGACGTGTGAGATAGGCAACGCTTTTAACTGGTAGATCACTGACACCCTAAGAATAAACGAGCACACGCTTCAACCAGTTTCAGCTGTGAAGAACAAGCTGGAATATGAGGCAGAAATGTGGCGGCTTCAGGAGAACAAATTACATTGGTATATTGGTAGAAATTCAGAACTGCCAACTACTGAAGTTGAAGCTAGAAGTAGATAGCACTAGTTAGTTTGTCGGTCACATATACGGTTATAAACACCTTGTCTTTCTATCAAATCTGTCAAAGTCATGCATGGGCTACATAGCTGTCGAACGTGCAACACGCAACGGTTTGATTGACGTTTGATCTCCAATCAGATTAGCGCCGCCTAGCGGGAACAAAATTGGACGTCACTGCCATTGGCACAAATTGTCGGATTATAGTAAGGGCAGCAACTCCCCAAAGGTGAAAATTTTACACTTCAATCCTTGTCTAATGTTGCACCATATTCTCTGTCCACATCCAGGTAGTGATGTTTCATTACAACCGCTATCAGTTTTATTGTCTGATTCATCCGCAGAAATCGGTTTGTGATATAAGCAGGCATAAGCCAAGCATTTGAGATCGGCCTACGTTACTCCTTTTATCTGGAGTTGCTTAATCTCAAGCATGTCACCCGGCAAGCCGAGTGCTTTATTTTTGCTCGTGTTCATCTCTAAGATGACCGTACTGTTGAATGAGAATCCAGAAACAGCGATGTACCGGGATCATGGATAATTACATCCCGATGTGCGATGTTCGAGTTGCGCATTTTTCCGCCATTTCTTGAATATGTTGTTGTTCATACAACTTCAACAATCTATACCATGAACTCATTTGTATTCAAAAAGCCTTGCAAATTCAAACCATTTGGCACTTGCGCATACAAGCTAGACATTCGTACAAGAAGATAAAAGAAGTCAAAAGGACGAAGAATCCGTTGTACACTTTGTATAACATTCGTAAAAGCAACGTTCATTTTAGAAATCTACTAAAACCTTTGTTAAATCCATTCCTTCGATCCAGAACTCTAATTTATCGCTAAAACAAGTGTGGCGATCTGAAAAGAAGCAGCGGAAAGAGAAGAGATCCTCCAGGCAACTCGACAAGAACACCCAGGTAAGAGCCAATCCGACATTGTCTTTGTATGTCTGGGGTATCGATCATTTAGTCAATTTCCGGTACCAGCGATCCACAGGGAACCTCCTAGCTTATGTCACGCAATTGTGGAGTAAACTCATCCAGTCTTATAGTGAGGATCATATCGTTGCTCTTGATATCACGAAACTGTTCGATCAGCTGTGGCACGATGCCCTCTTCGATCCTATGACCTCCCAGAGAAGCTTTGCAGATCGGTGGCTGACTTTTCCTCTGGCCGCAAGATATCCGTCGTAATTGACGGGTTCTCCAGGGATCGGCCTTGGCTCCGGCACTGTTCATCTTACATACCAACAATCTCCTTTTTGTATGATAAATTCAGTCCACAGCTTTGCTGAAGTCAGCACTCTATATGCAGGAATTGAGAGCGATCAGCCGATCTCTACCGGTGACCTGGAAAATAGAAGACTGGCAGAGACTTCCTCACTGACGAGAGCCATGGAGGTTATCACTGCTCGGGGACGCAACTATCTTGAACACTTTAATGCTTTCAAAACACAGTACTTTAACTTGACGAATAAAAAGCGTTATAGCGCTCATCCGGTTTCGATAGATGGCAGAGTTATGCCAAAGAACTGTTTATTTCGGCTGGTCGGAGTCAAGATCACCGAGGACTTGATCTGGCACGAAGACATCTCGCCAATAAAGGCAGCTGCTGGGAAAAAGCTAGGTTTTTCTTTTAGGGCTAAGAAATACTTTTCTCCACAAGACCTCCTCACTCTATACGGGCCAGATAAGACCTAGCCACAAGTTTTGCTCAAACGTGCTGCCGTCCCGGTTAGATTATTCGTGCTCGACGCTGTCCAGAGGAG